GGTGGGGTGTGTCTCTCTCTCATGCATGCGCAGGTGGGGTGTGTCTCACGCATGCACAGGTGGGTGGGCACTTAATAGCCCCAGTAGGACTGGACCAGCCTATCTACAAGACAAAAGATCTTCAGCTCCAGGATGATGGGATTAAGACATGGCCCTTCAGGACATAATAGGACCATTTATCAGTAGACACAGAGCTCACTACATTGCATAATCTCCTAAGGACATTGCATCAAGAGTCCAAGCTTCAACCAAACTTATCTCAGACAAATATGACCCCATATGGGCCCCTGGAGTCTGACAACAGCTAATAGAATAATCTGAAATCTTTCATTCTTTCTACAACTGTAGTTGGCTATCCTCCAAACTTACGTCAGACTTTCGCTGAAACTTTTACAATATGGGTTTTGATGCCTGTCATTGAAGAAGAGCTTTATAGAATTAGCCAAAACATGAGCCAGCAATTGAGAGCCAGTTTGGTCTAGCAGTTAAGGCATCATGCTAGAAAGCAGGAGATCCTGAGTTGAAGTCCCATTTTAGGCATGAGAGTCATCTGAGTGGCTTTAGGCTAATCACATGTCTCAGCCCAAGACACCTCACAAGGATTTATTTAGTTATAAAATTTATAAATCAGAAATTATTGTAGCATTAATTCTCCATATAATTTTTCGGTCTCAATTGGCAGACACCACAACCTCTGATGCCAGTAAATTGCATACTTTTATGCCTTGTACAAAGGGAATGAAATAATCTGCAAGTATAATATTTATCAGAGTGCAAACACCAGATCTACCCTTTAAAAAAATGAAAATTTCTTACCTATTTTTCTCAACTGAAGTGACTTTTTGATATTTGAGATCTTGGAGTTGAGATGAAAGCATAAGTCATTTAAGTTTGAAGAAATTGTATCCCATTTTCTTGCTTTAAGGAGGAAGAAATAAAAATTGATGAATGTTCAATTTTAAAGGTTACAATAGCTAATGTTTTTCTTACAAAGTGAAAATGTGTAAAACAAGTATTTTTATCCATCTGCAATAAATACAAAAATATTTACTATCATAGGTAGAAGGAACACACATAGGCAGAAATTGGAAAAATATTATACATTAAAAATTATTAGCATTAAAATAAAAACATTATAATGACATTTTACACATTTTCACGCTTTTCTAAGGATACAAATATTTTTACAAATCTGCCTACAAATAGATAGCAGAAATACTTAATATAATAAGACCAATTCCAAAATAAAAATGAAAGCTTTCTTTAGTTGACAAGGAAGAACAATTGGTCTCTTTACTGACAATAAAGTAGCTATATTTTACTACAACTATTATTAAATAATTTCCCAAAAGAATCATGGCCAATTCCAAAAATGCTAAAAGAGAACTATGCACACACACATATAATTAATTCCATATTATAAAAATAATGTGCTATAATAGCAATATAAAACGTAATGCAATAATTTTATAATAATGCAAAATATAACAATCATTAAATATTTAGTTATTTCAGTTAATGTAATATTAAACTTTATTATAATTTTGGAGTTTGAAGTCTCCCAGAGTCACTGATTGAGATGGGCGGCTAGAGCAATGAATAAAATAAATAAAATTTAATATTATTTTAAACTGTGTTCGAAAGAAAGACATAAAGGGCATCGTGATCTCACCGTCAGCATCACCGGGAGAATCAAATGCGGCCTCGTCCTCTTCCATATCCACGATCACCGTCTACACAAAACAAAAAACTTCCTTCCAGCGGCGACTCGCTCGCATTCAAACGACCCGCCCAAGCGGTTGAACATTTCAAATCGCGCGAGAACTCAAGTCATCTCGCCGCGGAAGTTCGCCTGTTCATTCCCAATCTCGGAGGGAGGGACGACTTTAGCCAGATGAGAAATATAGAACGGCACACAGTTCATCCATTTACAAATAGTGAGTTTAGCCATAGACGAGTAATACAGAGCGGCACACAAGTGTTGGGAGATAGAAATACAGAGTCGCGCAGCACCGTCAAGGTTGAGGAATGCGGGGGAGAATAGAATCTACCATTGGAGAGAAAAGGACTAAGAACTAAATTTGAACTCAAGGGGATTGCCTCTGAATTGACAGACGTAGTGGAACTTTATCAATAGGATAGAGTTTAAAGTTTGGCTCGGGTGGAGTTTTTCTTCCTGCACTTTGCAGACAATCAGTGATAGGACTGCCAAGCTTCAAAGATTTAAGACAAAAGGACTTCAGCTCCCAGAATTCCTCAGCAGAATTCTGGGAGTTGAAGTCCATACATATTAAAAACAACAACAGAGTAACAGTGTGGGAAGGGAGCCTGGAGGTCTTCTAGTCTAATTCCCAAATGCTGAGTTTGAGGAACAATAAACTGGACAACAGCAAAGAAATAGGCAATTCCTGTTCTCATACGGTTGCCCATATTTCTGCAGCCCAGAATTAGATGACCTAGATGAAGGCAGAAAAGAACATGACAGAAAGAAGAGAAAACCACCCAAAAGCCAAAAATCTATTAAAAAGTATGGCTAAATAAAGTGTTTTTCAATCTTGGTGGCTTTAAGATGGGTGGACTTCAACTCCCAAGAAATCCCCAGAGCCATGCTGGCTGGGGAATTCTGGGAATTGAAGTCCACCCATCTTAAAGCCGCCAAAGTTGAGAAACACTACTGTAATGAATCTATGAATTCTCTACACAAGG